AAATCTCAATTACTATTACTAAATTCACGAACGATGTATCATTATTCAAATTGTCTCATTCTTAAAAGCGAGGGTAGTTTGGTTCGATTCTCACGGAACGTCCCATACAAAAACCTGACATTATATAACTTATTATAACCTAACAAGGTTTGACATGTAAAATGGATTTAAGTTTGTTCATATACACACCAGATTGTTCGGATGGTGACAAGAATTCCGTAATTGTTTTTTCTTTGCAATATAAAAATTCCGAGCGTATTGCTAACCATTTTTTTTTAAATGATCATTTCAGGGAAGCATAAAATTAAAGAATTGGAACCTTAGAAGAAGCACACCAACTAGAAATCTTTTTTATTATTATTACTATATTAAGCATACTAGATGATTTGTTTTAATATAATATTTAATGAAAGAAAAGAAGTATCCTGTTTGATATGTAGATTTATTTTAAATTGATCCCCTCCCTCTACGGAAGCCAAAAAAAAAAAAAAAAAGTTTATATTCCTGTTTCTACGTAGCTGCTAAATATAATTATTTCTAAAAACTTTTTGTTTTCATATATTATTATCGATTTAGAAACCAAAATTATGTGGTGTAAGCATGTTTGTGAGTTTCCGTAGAGGTATCAGTTTACAATGAATTTTCGACGCAAATTAATTAACTTTTATAAAATTTAATAAAAGTAAATATATATAAATGATACTCTTCAGCAGTATTTACTTAATCTATAATTAAAAAAGAAATAACTCCACCCAGAGATTAAGTGAAAGGCTAACTTTGACACATTCTATATTTTATTTTATTTTTTTTTTAACTTTATGCCTTACAACAAACACAATTTGAATATTGCAAACACTACGAACACATGTCTGGCATATCTCCGTCGTTTCTCGGTTAATTGTTGAAAAATTCACAGCTCGAACCAATTTCCAAAATCTAACCAAAAAGAATTTTAAAGGATTCTTGATAAAAATCGAGAACTTTTCAGCACCTCCTTATAACATGATTTTCTCTCTCACCCTGGTTGATAGATCGTATTATTATTAGTAGTATTACTACTAAACATGTTAGAAAGTTAACACTGGACTATCAAACTAAGTCCGGTGCGTGAGTGTTGTGTCTGTGTGTAAGGTACACAAAGACTACAATTCATCACTCTTGGCGTTACAAGTGAACTAGACGTTGGGGAAGGCGAAGAAACATTTGCTTACACAGTCTTTCTGTGTTTTACGTTGTTTCAAGATGTTGGCGATAATGACTCTCCACAATGTCCTCTCGTTTTGTTTCGGTATATGCCGAGAAAACCGTTAAAAGTATATATATTTTAAATTTACCCGTTTGCTGACAATTTTTTTGTTGTTGTTATGATCATTGTCATCTTGGTTTCCTATGGGGGCTAATCAGGGGACACGTTTTAACTTGACCAAAATGTTTCAATTCAAAGCAGATTGATAAAATGCAAATTTATTCGCGTAGTTTGTGTATTTTACACGTGCATAGATCAATAATGAATTGTGCTAGCGGTCTTTTGTCTTTAAATACCATGTTCGTTCGGGACATAGACGATCGTAGCCCTCCACAGTTTCCTTTTTTTATTATCTGTAAATTGCTATACATTCTTAGGAAAGATAGTGGAGTGGTTTTCAACTGTCTTCTACACGTTTTTTTTTATGCAGAGTAGGCCTTCGCCTAGACTAGTAGCCATACGAGGCCAGTGTGTATTTGAGAGAGAGAGAGAGAGAGAGAGAGAGAGAAAGATCCCTACTTTTTTCTAAAGATATTAGTGCACAACAGACAAGGTCAGAATTTGAACCCTGTTCGCAGATTCTGAATTTCGCGCCGATAACAGTCACGGTACCCGCTTAGTAACATTTCTTACAGACTTTTAAAAACATTGAATTTTTATGTGCTTAATGTGGAATAGTGTACAATAAGGTTCAGTTAGAGACAAAAATAAACTCTCCCAATCGCACAGGATAGTTAAAGTAAGATTTTTGTCCGATTAATACTTCCGTAGTTAAATGTTTATATAGGATACCGTTGAACATAGAACTCACTTGTTATAATGGCGAAAAAAAAACCCCATAAAAACAAAAAAAGCCTGCACACACAGATACAATGCAATGGTATATCAACATTGTGTCATAAGCAGATGTATTTTACGTATATTTCTACAGCCATATCGAATGTAAATAAATGTATTGTAAATTTTTAATGGGCTCTCGCTTCATATACAACACTAAATACAAGTAGCGGATGTTATAAAATGCCAGTGGTCTTTATATTATTGTTCAAATATTATTCTTCGTTATTTTTAATCATCTTTTCGTTGTCCCTTTTGTAACAGGGAAATAAATAAAACCGGAAAACGCTTAAAAAGAAAACCCAAAACGCACAATAAAATAGATTTATTTAATTACAGAGAATCAGACAAAAATTCAAGTACGACTAGACTAGATTATAAGGTTCTGTCACACGTGTTTTGCAAGAGATCGAATTTTCCCTCCTATTTCTAAAATAAAATTCTTAAGGTTCTGTTTCGAAATAAACAGAGAAAAAAAAAAGCTTTCCTGTGTCTTAAATAAATAAAGAAAAGAAAATTCAGAAAAAAAAAGAAAAAAAGATAAATTGAAGACCCAAATACCCCAACTCCAGTTTAAAAATTATCAAGCGAGTCTCTTAGAATTTCACGATTTCAAGCAAGGAAAGAAAATTCAATTTAAAATTGAATAATTCAACTAAAATATTTTAAAAATTCTTCTCTATTTTTCTGACAAACATTTGAAATACCAAATCTAAAACATCCCAACATCATCAGTGATAAGCGTTTTTAGTTTTTAGCAGTATTTCAAGCAACAGAATTTGAAAAGCAAGATGCTTTCCCAGTGACATTTCATAGGAACCTGTTCCGTGTCTGAAGTAAAGTACCCTTCCTTTCTCGCAAGTGGTCAGTCTAGCACTGAGCGTACAAACACATTTGTGCAACACTTGTAAATATGTAACACTTAAAATACTATGGCACAAAGATGCCTATATGGGTCACGTAGAGACGAGAATAGTTTTTCTTTTTAATTTAAAAAAAAAAAAAAAAAAAAAAAAAAAGACTATGTGCCGATAGACAAAGCAAAAAGGAGTCGTTCTTTTGTTGCCGTATTAAGTGTTCGCATAGATTAGACAAGGCATACAGAGGGTGTATACACTTGCCCGCGTTCCCCAGGGCTTTTTAGACGTGTGAAGGATTTATTGTTTTTTTTTGTGTGTATAGGGAAGAAGAAGGCTTCAACTCTAATAAATGATCAAGTGACTGTAGGAAGAGAGAGAAAAGAGAAGCGACATGCCTTTGCTGATTCGTGTTAAATAGCTAAAGCAGTAGGAGTGTGTATTTGTAGTGTGAAGTGATGAGTTAAAAAGAGTGAAGTTTTAGTCACACATGCCTGTAGTGTATTTAAAACTACTCCCGGTATAATTTTTATTTTCTCTAAATAAATCTGCGCAAGTGATAACGAACTGGTTACTCAATAAATAATAATCTATCTTATCGTTATATAATAATAATAATGATATATCAGAGAGACAAGTACTGACGGACATTTAAAAAAAAAAAAAAGCAAGACCAGAGTTAAACTTGTCAAGTATTAAGAAAATATTAATACCGGCGCGTTCGTATTTTCATGCGATGTGAATTTTAGCAGAAAAACAAGAAAAAATATCCTTTACTAACATACACGAAATCACAACAATTATAATCTTTTCTTTTTTTTTTTTAAATAGAAAAAAATCGAATGCTTTCCCGAATAATACCACAAAAAACAACCTTTTATATTGCCTATGAAAAATGAAAAAATATCTTAAATTAGCCTCGAATTGAATTTGACGACGACACGAGATTTAACTCGCTTTAGTTAGCATAAATTGAATCTCTTAGCATGTGTCCCAAAACAAATCGATCAAAAAGAATGTGAAATAGATCATTTTTGGGTGTTTAATTTTGGGACAGCCCATGTTCTATTTCCTAAACTGTTTTATATCCGAAGTTTCGATATATGAAACAACCATCGTGGGTTTCAGTAAATGGTAACAACGATTTTAAGAGAAGTGGCAGGAAAATACTAACTGGTTTATCACGTATTTCACGAAATTATCGAAAAAACAGACTGTGTTTTATCAATTCCGCTTTATTTTTTAAACTAACAAGAGTTTAAATCGGACGCTTAATTAGCGAAACAAGTTTTTTTTTAAGACTTTAAAATAAAAAAGCGATTTTTCTTTAAGCGAAAAAAAAAAAAAAATGAAAACATGCCTTTTCAGATTCAGTGTCTGTCTATATACGTTTTTTTTTTTTTTTTGATGACGACCAAATTATTTCGAGGGGTGTTTCCACGAATGTCTGTCACAGTTTTATCTGGCGATTGTTGACATCTTTATCAATAACAGAAAGAGACAATGAGAGAGAAAGTGACAGATCGCTTTCTAGCCGATAATATAAAAAAAAAAAATCCTTGCCGTCGAACACCGAGAACATTGTTACATACACAAATATTGTAATGTTTACATATTGATATTATTAGGGACACTTTGAAGATTATATGCAAAAGCAAATACAACTAACAAGAGGAATATGGACTCATTTCGACATAGGTTAGCATAACAAGGCGTGCGAATGATTATAGTGGAAGCAAGCGAGCAGAAGAAATGGGAATAGTTATTTTTAATAATAAAAATAGTACTTACCAATTTGTTCCTCAGATGAATGGTAGTCCCTTTCAAAACTCCCCTGCCTACAGAACAAAGGCGAAAAATTTTGCGTAAGTAGAAGAATAAAAATAAGAATAATCCGTTTTATGGAAGGACTGGATACAGTGTTCGGGGTGTCACAATCGGACAACGGGTAGTGGTGAGGGCGACAGGTTAGGACACCTTTTCCCATGCCTCCTCCGACTAACCCGGGGCCTCACCTCTGGTTCGTGTAACCGTCGATGGCGTTGTTTTGTTATACGAAGTTAAAAGGACGGTTCAATGGCAGCAGCAGCCGCTGTGATAGTCGTAGTAGAGATAAAACGGAGAGAAAGGGGAGGGTAATATAAACGAGAAGACGATGAAGAAGACGACGACGAAGAAGAAGAAGAGAGTAAGACGGATTCATGGGAAAACAACGACATTATGGCGATGGTGGTGATGATGAGAAGCAGCAAATGTTGGTTCGGCACGGATAGCTAAACGAACGTTGCTTCAAGAAGCGAATATAAAGAGAAAAAAGAGTAACCATTGGAGAGAGTATTTAAGGGTGTATGCTGTATATACGGATACATATCTGGCTATGTTTAAAAAAAAATGCGTGTGTGATGGCGTGCTCTATTGGGGGTGGATACTGCTTGATTAATATAGGGGTGGGGTCTCCACCAACGATGTGAAAAACGTATGAGTGGAGAGAGAAAGACAAGTGTGAGCAAAGGGTTACACTTTCTCTACGCCTCTCTTGGCGCGGAGTCACACATAACCCGTTCCCATCTCGCTGTAAGTAGTACTACTACTATTACTACTGCAACTTACAAGAGTTCATTCGATCTAGGAAGAGGGGCGGAGATTGTAACTACACCAATCATGTTCAGAGAGGGGGAAAATTTTGGTTAACTTTCCCTATATATATATATATATATATATATATATATATATATATATATATATATATGTGTGTGTGTGTTTATCGAAGAGTGCGGGAGAAATAGACGAGATGAAAAAAAGACAAAAAAAAATGTTGAAAATTAGAAGAGAGAGAGAGAGAGAAAAGCGGGAATTTTTCGTGGTGGATCGGAAAGAGAGAGAAAAAAGACTCACAAAGCAAGAATGAATGCAGTAGATTGAGAAAGAGACCGAATGAGAGACTATATAACAAAGCTAAAATTAAAAATAGATCGACAGAGAGAGAAAGTGCATGAGAGAGAGAGAGATGGAAACGGAAGAGTTTTCGTTTTCATGATAACCATTAAGAAAAGACACTGCATAACACAGCAAGAGAAAGGGAAAGATTTTAAAAGTAATAAAATCAACTCAAAAAAAATGTATTCATAATATAATAACAAAATATATAATATTCTGCAAGCGTTACAAACAGTTTTATGAAAATGTGCGGATGATCGTTCAAAAATAGTCATTTTTATTTTCATAATAATAATAAAAAAACAAAATCTCAGACGTGTGTGTCTATTTTTGTGACGACACTGTATTTTTCGTTTGATCATTCGGCCATTAAAAAGAAAAGAAAAAAAATACTAATATTAATTTCCTACTTCGAAAGAATTTTTAAGGGTCTCGTTGTGTTTTGAAAATAAATTAGCATATTTTAAAAAAAAAAAAAAAATGTTTGTCGAGACCATGTAGTGTAGGAAAATCTGCCAATCATGTTGTTTAAAAAAAAATGTTTGTGTGTGTGTGCACGTGCGTTGTCTTTCAGAAGCACATGAGACAGTGTGTAGTGAATGGTCTCTCTAGGAATAGATTTGTAACGTTTAAAAGACACCGAACGTACTTTTTTTAAGGGAAGAAATAATAATAATAAATATTATTAAAACATAATATTAAAAAATAACATCATCATCATTATTATTATTATTGTAGTAGTAGTAGTAGTAGTAATAATAATAAAAAAAAATAATGACGAAGAGGAATAAATGTGAGAGAGGTACTTAAACAGTAGTATTATAATAACTGGTTAATTCTCTCTCTCTCTTTTTTTTCTCTCTCGCAGAACTGTGTATTTTAAAGAAGCCGGTGTGAAATCAGATTTTTACATTCGTAATGGAAAAAAATATGCTATTTGAAAAGTAATATCGTTGTGTGTGTTGTGTGTGTGTGTGTGTGTGTGTGTGTGTGTGTTCGCGGCGTTACATACTAAAACTTCAGTTTTTTTCCCCGGAAAGATAACATTAAAAAAAAAAAAAATGAAATATTTTATTTCTTTCTTTAAACAATGTTTTTCTTGACTTGTCCATACAAGAGACGTAAACCTTATAGAAAAACCTCAAACTGAATAAGAAAAAAAAAAAATCATGCTTTATTTAAATACTGATCTTCGATGCAGACAGGCGATTCCAACTTGTCATGCTGACGCAACACTATCTTCTTACCTTAATTCAACCCTGCCCTAAGCTAAGTTTAGTACGAGACAAAGAGGGTCCAACTCCAAAGTTTATATGTTGGAATGTTGTGTTACTCTAAACTTCCAAGTTGGCAGCATGTAGCTTAGAAAATCAGCATTTCTGTTTTTCTTTTTTTTTTACCATAGATCGAACATCGATCTCTGGCACAGGTAAGAAATACATTACCAGCACATGAAACTTTTAGTCGTGGATGGGACTAAAATCTAAGAACTGTTTTTATATATATATATATATATGATGTTTGCCCTGTATACTTCACATATGTTGCATTATATATATATATATACTTTATGAAAAACTAGGTAACCTGTATGGGTAAACCCAAGGAGGATAAAATCCAGAG